TCATCTACTTTAATGACAATAGGACATGTTGCAATATAAATGCTCAGAGGTTTGTTTTAATTCAATGTTCAATTTAATATTTATTTCCATAATATAATATAAAGTTCAATATACAAAATAATTTTCAGTATGTGGCCACATATTTCTTCAATATAATTCAACTATAATTATTGAGTCCGAAATTCCCGGGAAAATGTGCACACATGTTCATTTTCGTTCAGTGTACTCTTCAAAATCGGAGGCTGTGAGTCCTGACCTAGAAAAAACATGTTTCATTTCTGTGCAAATCAAACTGTTTTTTATCAAAATAGAAGGTAAATTGAAGATTCTTTAGTGCAAGAAAGGTAAGTACAGACATTTCTTTATCTACATAGAGCAATTTGTATCGTTTTCAAGCAAAACGGGCTGAGATTTTGATGTGATTAAAACTTTGATTTTTTTCAATTTCTATTTTCACTTTGGGAAATTTTTCTGTCAAAGTCTAATGCGTGGCGCTGTTAATAAATGTGTGGTGCGCAATAAATCAGCGTGGCACAGCCACAATGTGCGTGGCGCGAGCGCCACACATTTTTCAGTCAGGGAGAACACAGTGATGGCTCTTAATCAACAAGCAATCTAAAAGAGATTGGATGAGGGGGGAGGGCATGATGGCCCTTAATCAACAAGCAATCTAAAAGAGATTAAATGTGGGGGGGGGCATGATGGCTCTTAATCAACAAGCAATCTAAAAGAGATTAAATGTGGGGGGGGCATGATGGCTCTTAATCAACAAGCAATCTAAAAAAGATTGGATGAGGGGGGAGGGCATGATGGCCCTTAATCAACAAGCAATCTAAGAGAGATTAAATGAGGAAGGGGCATGATGGGAGAGGGTTCCTATTTTATCAAATATGGGTAATTGGAATCATCATAAAATACTCATCGCATGGATCTACTTTATACAGACATCAGACACAGATGTAAGTTCCCATTTTTCAGAGATTTTAAGTTACAACTATGTTGTACATTCTTAGCAACCTGTTAAATTATCAGAACAAGAGCTATAGTTATACAGAATGCCTCTTGAGTTAATTGAAGGATAAAGCCTATTTGGTATTTTTACACAAGTGGGTGCATATAGGTAAAGAGTATTGATATACTTTTCTTCATCTTTTCTCCTTCAAACTCCAAGAGTTCATTACCCGTGTCCTGATATGACCTGAATGCCCTGCTGTGCTGTGATTGGCTGCTCTGGGATTGTGGTCAGTATATTAGTTTTGATTGGTTGATGAGCATGCACACCTACATATTGGACAAATACAGTGAAATGTATATTTAGGCTTGGTTTAGGTCAACTTCTTGAAACTTTAAATCCGTATGTATATTATATATTTAGTGTGTTATGTATGTTCAGGAAAGTGTGTTCACTTTTAAAGAAGTGTTCATTGTTTTGTACCTCGAGGCAGAGGCTTCAGACTAGGTGTTCGTTGTTCAATGGCCCTGGAGAATAATGTTTATTAGAGGAAGGAGAATGGTATTCACAGTTATAGGTTTCACTGTAGAATATTACACCGTATTTTCATTAATCATTTTCTAGGTTAATACTCCCTCTCTGAAAATACAACACTCGTTATGCTTATTAATGCAAATTAGTTTATAGTAAACGTGAAAAAAAGATAGAAAATAGTTGGAAATAAACTTCAATGTGAAAAGAAAGGATAACTTCAATATGTAATGCAGTACCATTGATCTGAAACATAGGATTGAATATTATGCGCTGTGGCTAAGGGATGATGTGAAAAAGTCACTCCACCTTGATGGGTATCACTTTTTCACACATTACACTACCTATTAAAGTGTCTTTCTAAGACTTAGAAGGAGAAATGTGAGATTTCGAGCCATATGTCTCAAGAAAATGCTCTTACCTTTCTAGTAGGATGAGTTCAGGTGCCAAAAACAGCTGATCAAAGGATATATATCATTTTCTAATTGAAAATTTTTGTTGAGCCCTGCATTTTTAACACTGTTTTGACAGGAAGTCATACCCAAAATGAAAACTGAATAAAACAACATTTATCCTAAATGTTGATCAAAATACTTACTCAGACATGCAAAATGTTATTATTAGTAGTAATTCTGATCATTTTTAAGAAATTTAAGCATGTAAGCTTTGGGCTCTATCAGAGTTTTATTCCAAAAGATCTGGGTTCAAATCCCTCCGGTGGAATATGTTTTTATTCTTTATTTTTGTTTTTTTTTTCCTTTTGATCCACAATATTTCTAAAATTAATTTTTATATATGGCACTTAAACCATATTTAGTATTTCCAAGGGTTTGGATTTTTAGATGAAATCATAGAAAGTTACTTTAAGAAATATGACACTTGACATTATTAATTATATGTGATCAATGATATTTGTTGATATATATTTGGCTAAGTGGAGTAATAAAAAGGATAGTAACTAAGTGCTAAATGTGAACTTTTTAGACAGGTCGAAAATAATAAGACCATACCCGCCTTAAATGTTCCATTTCTTAACATTTAAAGATGTGACCTTGTCTTGGTTTTTTTCTGTATTATTGGTAGCAGAGAGTTTGTTCACCTAGCTTTTTAACCTGTTTCAAAGCTTTCTCAAGGAATTTTTGTGTGTGGAAGAAGTTGTTGGATTTTGACCATTTTTGGTTTTTCTAATTTTTTGCACAAGTTTAGGTTTTTAGAGGTCATTTTAGGATTTTATTTATTTTTTATTGAAATGTTTTAATATTCTTGCCAAAGATAGCCAGTCTTCTCTGTTAACCCAAGATGCAAAGTGCAGTGTTGAAGGGCATGATGGGAATTACAACCTCCTTTGGGTATGGATCAGAAAATTGACGTAAATTCATGTCTTTTACACTTAACACATGAATGCTTTTCTGAAATTGCATTTCCAAATCTAATAGCCCCAAAAGAATCAATATATCCACCCTTGCAAATGATCTGGTCCTTGTTTTTTACTATAAAAACCAAGTAAAGCTAAGAATAAACAAGGGTATGATTGATGTCGACAATGAAAACAACCAAAATTCAATAAATTAATATTTCCTCTAATTAGGTATGTTATTAACGGGTGAAATAAAAGTGAACAGTAAGGTGTGATGAATGTCTGTAAAAGAGCTGCAGACAAAATTAATCTAAGTTTTCTCAAAACATGGTGACCATTTCCTCGATCCCGCACATGTGTTTCTATCTGGTCACAATCATTCTCATCAATTCTCTCGAAAATTTGAATAAAGCGTCATATTTTCTGTCATTTTTGTACAATATAATATGTTATCTACAAGTGTATTTGGTTTCTTCCTTGCTGATTCCACTCTTCTTCTCTCTATTTTACATTTAGATATGTTCATGGTGATATTTGTATTAGGGTGTGATTCACATTGGGATGCCTTTCAGACCGACTTGTTTATTTCATCAAGTCCAAGGGATAGGACGATTCTTATTTTAGTTGTAAATTCTAAAAACAATGAAAGTTAAATTAACACATTTATAACATTTTTTTAATCATTTCATGTGATATCGGAATGATTAACCTTATAAAATGGATGAAGTGAAATCTAGAAAGCATAACATGGATGAGTAAAAAACAATTCAATGGTCAATGCAAAAATAAAACAATTGAAAGAATCAAAAGTCGGCCAAATGGATTTACTTTTACTTGGAAGTTTCATCCCTGGGTAAGAGTAGAATAGCCATATTACTTGGCCATTTTATATAATAAAAACTCTTTATGATAAACTTGTCATGTTTATTTTGAGACATCACACAGTCTCTGAGTTTCTTTCTAGAAGGGTGAAAACAGAAAAATGCGATGAAAGTGTCACCTTTCCTTTTTTTTAATCATTTTAACAAAATAGGAAACAGAACCAATGTAACAGTATCAGAATGATGTTAGTTAATTTTCATATCTTATCATTTTCAATGGAGTTTGATTTCACTTTCTTAAAAGAAAGCTTCATCTATGGCCCTCGTGTTAGCTTGTGTATTGATATCATATAGCCTACATTGTATAATGTATTAGCAGGTCTGAAAGTTGTAATACTTGGCCTAAAGGTCAGTATAGATTGCTTATCATATGCACTTTAACCTTCAAAGAATTCTGGCAAAATAGTTCTTTCCTGGCAATACGTCATATTAGGCATTCTATTGTTCAGATGTACGATTTTTGTGTAATTTTCGTGATTTGAGTACCAACAATTAATGAAATACACCTCTCTGGAAATAAAGTGTTCAGATTAGCAGGTGTTCACATTTCAAGGTTTTATAAACATGTAAGTTAATAGGAGATAACAAATTTGGGACCAAGATAAAGTGTTCACATTGAGAGGTGTTCGGATTAGAGATGTCTGGTTTGGATATACATGTTGTTAATATTTTAAGTATTTCCCCACGAAAAATGTTTGTGAAAGTGTGAAACTACTTTAAATTAATGTTCAGTAATTTTTGTGACATTGAAAAATGTACCTTTGGGAATATGAATATTTATGATGTCTAAGACCAGTTTGTTTCAAGTTCATTTGTAGCCTGTAATGCTTTCCCTTGGCTGGCCTACATTTTTGGAGATTAGTTTTTATTTTTAGTCTGGCGCATGTATTGTAAAGGTCAGGCAATATAGCGGTCAACATATGATTGGCCAGTCATGCCTCAATGATGGAAACTTCCATTGCTTTTGATAATGCAGTGAAGTTCCTCAAATTGAAACAAGTGGGTGCTGCATCTATATTGGGATTTATGTTGCTTGTATGTTGAAATTGTCCTGCATTATCCCTCCAACCCCCCCCCCCTTCCAAACCCCCCCCTTATCTATTCCATTTTTCAGTGTTCTAATATGTACTTATTGGTTGATCCAAATATTTTATACTCAACATCGATCAACATTTTTATTGCCCTTGTGGGTGCTACATTATGATCAGTTCAGTTGGTAGATGTTCTAAAATATTACTGAAATATACGTCTTTTAAAATCGTCTGATTTCTGATTCCAGGGGTATTAGTAGTGTTGTACGACGCTGCATTGAAAAACAAACGGGTCAGGAATATGCCGTCAAAATTATGGATGTCACGGAGGAGACGACGTCGGATGTACAAGCTGATGAGGTGACATATGCAGTAAAGAAAGAAATCAACATATTAAAGATGTGTGCTGGCCACCATCATATAAGTAAGTAGATTAGATGGGCAATGTTGCCCATTTTGGGTCACCCTGTATCATTATAAGCTGGTCATAAATTGTGACCATTTGGATTTGACCAATGCAACTTGGTAGAATGAAAGGACATTCTTTGTGTCAAATGTAACCTTCAACCCATGCTGATTGACTGAGACATTAACATTTGTTTGGGTTACCTTTTTTGGCTCACCCTGTATCATGTGTATAAATTGTGACTATTTGGATTAGACCAATGGAACTTGATAGAATGAAAGGACATTCTTTGTGTCAAATGTAACCATCAACCCATGCTGATTGACTGAGACATTAACATTTGTTTGGGTTACCTTTTATGGCTCACCCTGTATTACAAGGGATGATCTCAACAATTTTCTGAATTCTATTTATAACCCATTTTGGTGACTCGTTGAGCACTCATTTTAAGACAGACTACATAATTGCCTTTGTTGGATTTCAAATTATTCTGATCATTGGCATGTTTGTCTTGTCATCATACAAAAACATTTTATCTTATCCTAGATCAAGCCCATAGCCAGGATTTGCCAAGGGGGGGTCAGTTTCAAAAAATTCTAGGGGGGGGGTTCACATTTGACAATTTTGGCCAAATATGGCTAAAATCACTTGAGAAGTGCTCAAAATGGTGAAAAACTGCATGAGCTTGAAAGAATTTTTGGCCGGGGGGGGGTTGATCTATGAATCCCCCTGGCTACGGGCCTGTAGAACTTATTTCAGATCTTGTAGTTCTTCTAGATATAACTTCACATAAAAATAATAAAATCTCTTCTCTTGGGAAGCTGTCGTGCAAGACTTTATAACGACCCTTGTAATATATAAAATACAATACAATATTATTGTGTCTTATGTCTCATATTTCTATGTTTTATGTTTCAGTCGCTCTCCATGATACGTTTGAGTCAAGCACCTTTATATTCCTAGTCTTTGAACTGTAAGTAAAGCTATTTAGTATTTTTAAGGTTTTAGATATAGGGCGTTTCATTTTTTAAACATTTTTCTGATAAAGCTACTCTTCATATATGATCTATGATTGGTAGGGACCTACAAAAATATTTTCAGCCTAATCGGGCATAATTTGCCTAAAAAAATAGAACGCCCTAGAGAGTATGCTGTTTTGTGTTATATAGTGTTGCCTTTAGTGTTTGCTCACAGAAATCAAAAAGATTATCTATCTCTCTAGCCTTGCATAAAGTCTGGCCTCCTTATATTAGTTATTTCCTCAACAATATGTGTCAAATAAAGTAGGGAGGGGGGTGCTTCACTGGGGCTCAATGCAAAACTAGATAGATACCTATACCATAATGTTGTCCCGCATGTAGGGCCACCTGTATTGAACCTACAGGAACTATTATTAAATCATGGTCTTTTATGAAGGGAGATTGTTAAATATAAGGGAGATAGAGTTAGGTAAAAGGGAGATAGTGTTAGATACAAGGGAGACAGTATAAGTTACAAGGGAGAATGTGTTAGTTGCAAGTGAAATATCGCAAGTTGCAGGTGAGATTTTTGCAAGGAATAGCCAAAGTTATGAAGACTGTATTAGTTATGAGGAGTAGGTGTTAAATGAAGGTGACTTTTACATAATAGTTGTGAGGGAGATACAATACAATAAACCTGTGCTACAATCTGGATAAGTACAGGCATAAACTACAATATATTTGTAAATGAAAAAACAGGTGGGCTACATGTGAGATCCCCTTATACAAGAGGAGGGGCACGTACAAATAGGTTAATAGGGGATCTAGCTCGTGGATTGGCTCTACCCCAAGGGAGAAAATGGTAATGAATATAGGCCTACCAAATGCCAACACGATGACCTGACATACAAACCCTATACAGTACTAATAGTCTGGGTTAGTAACTGGGCTGTTCCACCTACTCCTTATGTTATTTACTCATATGCCCTCAATATGTACAAATGTAGACTTGTAATTAGGCTTTAGAATCCCACCCCCTGTTTACGTCATCCCCATGGAGGCAAGGTTTGTAGGGGAGGGAGGGGGGTCTTAAGAGTTTGGAGAAAGGCTAAATGAGATGCTTTGAACTTTAGATGCTCCTGTAATTGTATAGCCAATTTGCTTGCTTCTCCCTTTTTGTCTTCCGTGTCCATCTCGATATGGGGTGAATTGAAACAGACCAAAAGTTCTGTGTTCGTGAAGTCTGATTGGATTAGGGTTTTTTCTCAATAATGCGCTTAACTCCTTAATTCTAATTATTTTTTATTAGTTGTGATCAAAATATCTTAATTTTCACCCTTTTGGCATGTTGCAAACATATTTTCAACAAGGTGGCATGAAATTTTCATATTTCAACAGAGTGCAACTGCACCTAGATGCTTTAACGGTTGAGATAACTGGTGAGATAGTAGTGCCATCTTTCTGTTATACCAGAACTACATTTGCAACATATATGTTTTTATGATAAAACTGAGATCATGCAAGCTGTAAAGTATGTCATTTTGGCATATTATTTGGATTATTGAATTTAACTTGTATTGTAGCAAATATGTTATTTTACTGTATCAGTTGCAGTAGATTAGGTTACTGTAGGTTAGTGAAAATTACCTGTAAAATAAAATCCAAAGAGTTCATACATGCAAATGCTAATGCCTGGGTCACATTTGCTCTGATTCATCGGCCGGCGCCCAGCCAATTGAGTATCCTGTTCACAAAAATATTCAGTTTTGAACTGAATACTCAATCGGCTGGCCACCAGCCCATGAATCGCAGCAAATGTGACCCAGGCATTACCAACAAAGGTGGTGAGAAGGTACTGGGCCAAGGATACATTAGTCTCTGTTAGTTCTTGTTTTCCTAATTTTTAGGTCTTTGTTTCCCTTTTAACTTATCATGACAAGAATAAATGAGTAAATGGCATTTTGTTGTTTTCCCTGCATCCTTGTTCTTAATTCCTTGTTTTTTCACTCTTTCACTTTATATTGCATTTCAAAACATGACCATTTTAGCATTTTACAAATATAGGAGCATTTCAGAGACTAGACCACTCTGTATTTTTAATTAATGATTGAGAAAAATAGGCCTATATTTGTAGCTGAGATCTGATTGGTTGACATTAAACCAGATATTGGACACACCCTCCATATCCAGGCTAACACATCTAGCTGAATACACTACATGATTATTTTAGAAAAGGGCCCATTTGGAGGTTTATTCCTCTGTGGTATTATATAATATAATTTATTTATGTGTAATATAATTCAATATTGTGTAGTTGTAGAATATAACTTTCATACAGCTGGTTAGTCCACGTGTACTTGTGTAACTTTGTCCAGCACGTTTTCTGGACTTATCTGCTTGTATAACAACACTGGCCCTTACAAAAAAATTTGAACAGGTACCTTTTGTTTTTGTCACATTAAGCATTAATTTTAGTTATAAATACTTCCAAATAAATTCAAGTTAACTTTCTTGGACAAAATTTTATACCAAAGCTTTTTATGACTTTAATAGTAATTGATTGAAAACTAAATTTTATGTTAGGTTTAATAACTTGGCTGGTCTATTGACCTTTAAATGACATAATACCCTAAAGGTTTACGTGTATCTGTCCAGTGATTGGTTAATAAAACCGAACCCCATATAGTTTGACCTAGTTCTCTACAATCAATAGTACAATGCTTTATATTATTTCATAAGCAGTTTTAGGCCGATATTCCAATGAAATACAATGATAAGAGACATTCATCTACTTTGAAGACTCAAAAGTTTTCCAAAGTAGATAAGCCAGGATATACTTTTAATAGGACTTCAAGATTTAGTACTGATTTGTCCTTGTTTTTTTACATACTAGTTCTTAACCTACCATTTGCCGAACATCTTAATTTGAAGAGGAGCCTGACAAGGTCAAGGTAAGTGTAATACAAATACACATCTCACAAGCTGCTTGTGAGATTATAATGTGAGGTGTATAGTAAAAAATGGTTGTCCTTTTATAAGAACATGCACTAAAACACTATCATTATTTTTTATTCAGATAAATTTATATACAATAATAAAACATGATAAATACTGACCCTGAATCACAGGTGTTAGTATGAAGTCAAGTCTCAAAAAAGTAACATTTATAAAAAAGTATAATCTCTATAACTAGTTTACAAGGGTATATAGGTATAGTTGGTCTAATTTTCTAAAAATGCATGAGGCAAACAAACTTAATGAAAAACTCTAAATGTGAGATAAATGACATGTGAAGTTGATGTCATATTCTCAAATTATCTTTATGACGAAAATGTAGTGGGAGTCTACTAGTATTTTACACAATGTTTGCTCTTATTCCTTGTAAGGGTCATTGCTACTTACACAAAATAGAGAATTATTTGTAAGGGAAAGTTAAGCTTGGAATTCTAGCATTTGAGATGGCCATCATTTTCGTCCCACTGATCTTGAAAAGTTTTAGTGATATAGTGGAAAATAGATATTCAGCTGGCAAAAAGATGCAGCAGGAGAAAAAAGAATGCAGTGCATTATGGGTACATTAGTATGGCGTTGTGACATAGTTGTCTGATTTCTAGGTTTAAGTTTAGGGCATCATACACTTGCGCTCTAAGAGATACGTGTCACCCGAGTCACCTGTATACACACAGGAAAATTAGTAACTTGAAGCATATGGTTCTAAAAGGGGACACACTCTTGTGTATATACATGTTTAAAGACATTTTGTTAAGAAACTTATGGTAGTTTAAAAAAAATAGTTAAGGGCATCAAGCACTTGTACTTTAAGAGATACGAGTCACCTATATCCACACGTATACACACGTGAAAATACCATTAGTAACTTAAAGCACATGTTTCAAAAAACGGGATATCTCTAGTGCATATAGACATATTTTATAGTTCATAAACTTGTGATAGCTTAAAACAGTAGTTTAGAGCCTTTAGAAACAAATGGGATTTTAAAACACCCATGATTTATGGAACATTGGCTTTTGAAACAATATGGAAGTTAAAGAAACAGAACATAGAAGATGGTATTTTGATGATGTAATAGATAGATAGATTATATGTGCTGTTATTAATCATAAAAGTCGAATTGAAGACATGTAAAAAAGAAACTACTTTCAGACAAGGATGTACGTGAACCACTAGTAAAGATACTTGCATAAGTCAAGCAAAGTTCATGTTTTATATGCCAAGGTAGATTCAAAACAACTATTTCCAAAGGCTTCTAGAAGTCTATGGTATCAGCTAATCGTTAAAGCTTTTGATAAGTTGTTATATAGGAAATATCACCTGGATTTTTTGTAAGTCACAATGTAGAAATATAGAAATAATATGCAAGTAGGAGTAAATAACTAGTAAATACTAGTAAAAGCTTATATCACATGGATTTTGTTAGTCACAATATACAAATATAGAAATAATATCTAAGGACTAGGAGAAAATAATTAGAATTATATAGATGATTTTATATTGATATATAGTGATGTATGACCTGCACCGCTATAATGGAAATGTATCCAGTGTACTGCATCTGGTTAATAATAAAAGGTAAGTCACATTGTTGCTTGCTTGCTTTGTTAGGTCCAGGATGTAAGGTTTTGTAGTCTTAAATCAAGCCCCTGTATTCCATCATTTTTTTCTCTAACATAGTCAGCAGGCCTGTAGCCAGATTCAATAATGATCCTATTCCCCCTTATCAAAAATTCTGCAGTTTTTCACCATTCTGAGCACCTTTCGGGTGATTTTGGGCCAACATTGTGAACCCCCTGGAATTTTTCAAAAAGAGAGCCCCCCTTGCAGAGATCACGGTAGACGTTCGCCATTCGCCAATCACGAATTTTCGAAAAAGGTGGCGAAAAATATGTAAAGGTATTTTGCAGTTATGGCAAATTCCCTTTTTTCACAGTTTACTCGCCAAACAACTTCATAAATGTTGAATTTGAATGACTTTTCAGAAGAAAACTTTTTCGGA